TGGGAAGGGCTAGCCTCCCACTAGTTCGAATTAAGTGGCTACACAGCCCTTTATTCAAACTACTTAATTCGAACTAGGCGTTAGTCCTCGCAGAATGAGGTTTACCTAGTTCGAATTAAGCACGCCGCCAGTTCCAATTAAGTTCAAACTAGCGATGTGCATGTGTAGCCCCTATTAAAGTTAATTCAAACTAACGGCTGTTAGTTCAAATCAACTTTGTAGTGTAGACATACCCTCCCTCTCACAGGCCTTGGGGGACAGGCCAATCCTCACTTACAGACAACGCTGTAACCTCACGCAGCACACTTCTATCATACTGATCCAGGAGCCAACCCCTGCAATCAACCCCGGGGCCAACCCTGTCCTTACATCTATACAGGCAATATTATCACAGGACCTAACCACGTAAACCACCACATCAGAAGCTCATACAACTGCACATCCACTAATGTGATCTATGCCATCAAGTGCCAGCAATGCCTCTTGGCCATGTATATTGGCCAAACTGAACCGTCTCTACAAGAAAAAATTAATGGACATAAATCAGACATCTGAAAAAGGGAACACACAAAAACTATTCGGGAACATTTTAACTTGCCTCAGCACTCATTAATGGATCTCAAAGTCACCGTATTATTTCAAAACAATTTTAAAAGCCAGCTTGACAGGGAAGCTTAATTTCATTTAAAAGTTTGATTCCTACAACAGAAATCTAAACAAAAACGTTGGCTGGATGGCCCGCTACATTCCACATCCTAATGACAAAAAAAAAAAAAGGTACTTAGAGTGGGTACTAAGTATTCTTATCAGCTTCATTTAGCATGGACATGTTGACAATTTCTTTCCCCTTTTTCCTCCTCTTCTCCCCTCCACATCCCCTCTCTGTGTTATTTATTTGAAAACTGGACCCCTTAAACTCCATTCATCTGAAGAAGTGGATTGTGCCCACAAAAGTTTATGGTACCATCTACATTTTTTGTTAGTCTCTAAGGGTATGTCTAGACTACATGGCTCTGGGTAGATTAGTTTACTAGACATACCCAAATGAAGCGGCGATTTAAATAATCGCCGCTTCATTTAAATTAAAATGGCTGCCGCGCTGAGCCGATCAGCTGTTTGTCGGCTCAGCGCACTAGTCTGGACGCTCCACAGTCGACATCAAAGGCATTTGTCGACCTCCCTGGTATGCCTGGTATGCCTTACGCTCCACGGTCGACATCAAAGGCATTTGTCGACCGCTCCGGTAAACCTCATCCCACGAGGCATAACGGGGCGGTTGACAAATGCCTTTGATGTCGACTGCGGAGCGTCCAGACTAGTGCGCTGAGCCAACAAACAGCTGATCGGCTCAGTGCGGCAGCCATTTTACTTTAAATGAAGCGGCGATTGTTTAAATCGCCGCTTCATTTGTATATGTCTAGTAAACTAATCTACATGGCTCTGGCGACAGAGCCATGTAGTCTAGACACACCCTAAGGTGCTGCAAGACTATTCCTTGTTTTTTTAAGTTTTTCCAGTTACAGACTAACACGGCTACCCCTCTGAAAATCCTGACACCTGCTCATGGACTCCTAGCAGGCCTCGCACCTCCCAATTGAGAACTGCTACAATCAATAGTAGGAGCATATTTCCCAAAGGAAAAATAAGACATAGCCCAGAGCTGGTATGAGCTCTCCCCACCTCAGCATGGGGCTGGTTCAAGCCACTTGACCCTCTCCATGAGGCTGGGTTGCTGAAACCCTGTCTACTCATCTCCCTCCTCATCATGAATCTTGGCACTTCATGAGGGACTGGCATCACTGCTCATTCTCCTCCCACACACACACACACACAAACACTCATTCCTCTACACTGCACCCCACTTTTTGACAAAAGTTGGCATTTGATCAGATGGCAAAAGCAAACAGGACAAAAGCCCACTGTTGCCAAAAAAGTCAGAATGATCAGGACATGGCTAAAAAAGGGGACTGTCTCAGCCAAAATAGAAAATATAACCATCGTAGCGATTAAAGTATTGCCTCTCCAAACTTGCATCCTTAAAATCCTGCTAAGACCAACACAGCTACAATAACACTGCAAAAGAAGGTGAGAACTCAGTCAGTATTCATTACATCATTTTGTGAACTGGATAAAACAGATATTTGTATTACCTGATTTAAACCTGAGAACAAGTTGCCAAATGCATAGTATCCAAAGCACTACGGTCACTGTCCCAAAAATAATCACAATCAACGCTCTGCTGTCCCAGTGAAAGGAAGGCATTTTGTGTATGCCCTAAGCATGCTCAACTATAATATATTTTTAATTCACTTCCTTGTGATGGATAAACTATTAACTACTTTTCTCATCGTCAAGGCTAGAAATGTAACCCTTTCTGTTCCATTTAAGGAAATATTGAGAGGCAAAACCAGAGGCAAAATGGATGAAGGATTATCATTTATTAGACCAACTTCTGTTGGTGAGAGAGACATGCTTTCAAGCTTCCACAGAATTCTCCTTCTGGTCTGGGAAAAGAAGAAGAGCTCTGTGTAAGCTCAAAAACTTGTCTCTCTCACCAATAGAAGTTGGTCCAATAAAATATATTACCTCAGCCATCGCTCTCAGACCCCCTTTCTCTCCAAGTCCCTGATCTGCATGAATGAGTTAGACCTAGAGCCAAATGAGGAGTCTCTGTAGAAGGAACTCTGCCTGTTCCATGCATTGAGGGAGGAAGAAGTCACTCAATATATGAAGCTGCTCCAATTGTCCTAGGGAGTAGTGAAAGGCAGCCCATCCAAAGGGATTTTTCCAGGGACTGATGGATTTCCCCTTCTACTGTGCTATAAATGGTCTCAAAGAGTGAATGGTCCATCATAAATGGGTAGCAGCAGCTTCAATTAAGTGTTTAAATTTCAGGTCTTGATACCTAACTCATTTTTTAATGTCTACATTTTTGGCCAAGTCTGAGGCTTCTTGTGACCCCTCTCCCCTGCCCCACAAAGTACTGCCCTCCTTCCTATCAGAGGGTCTGCAAACACACAGTGTGTGTGTGTGGGGGGGGAACCCCTAGAATGGGCAGCTCTATCAGATTTGAGCATCCAGTAAGCACTGTGTAAAGGTTAAATGGTCCAACACCAAGTCTCTGGTTTCTAAAGAAGCCCCAATTTTGCATGTTGAGGTGAAAGATATATTAGATAACACTCCGGGGCTTCACAACACTGCTGTGCAACCCCTGCCGTATTGTGAACAAACAGAGTGTGAAGCTTTAGAGAAATACTTTCCTCAGTCATTACAGTTACTTGGCCTGCTAACTTCTAGGACAGTTTCCATTTTCTTTCAACAGAATCTGTAACTTTTAGAGGGCGCAGAATGCTACCTATCCTTATCCATTGCACGTATTCCTAATCTCTAGCAGCCTCCACTACTTATCTTAAAGGAGTTGATTTATGAGTGATAACATTGTAGATCTAGAGCCAAAAGCTGCACAGAAAACGCCTACCCATATACTCTTGCATGGGGCCTTTCATGCAGGTAGGTTGAACAAGACACTGAGGCCAATTGGCCATCAGTTTCCCAGTCACCTTTTTCTTGAAGATGGGCACTACGTTCACTTTTTTCCTAGATAACAGGTATGGTACCTTTTCTGATTCACTGAAGACTGTTTCTAGAGCTTCAAGAATTCTTGCTGGTATTTTTCATCAATCTCACGTGCAATTCTTTCATACTCATCAATGTGTAATATATGATGTGGGCAGATAGAGGTCTGAGCATTGGCTTCATCCCTTTTAACCAATTATAACAAGATTCACATGCCACTCTGGCACCTCCTGCTAGTTGCCATGGCAATTAGCCCTGCACAGTAGTGTGCTCTCTTCAGGTGGTGCCTCACCACACCTCCTTTATGTCTGTTCCAGGACTCATATCTCTCCAAGGGCTGCAACATCCTCTTCAGCAATGCAGCCCTTTGGCAGTGCCACACACTGTGCTCCCCGCATCCAAGGGGCCTGCAGTTCACCTTCTCACCACTTACTTCAGTGGCCAACTGCACTCCCTTCCTCCAGGGTCACCTCCCACCTGGCTTCAGCTCCCTCTTTGCCTTGAGTCAGGTCCTTAGCCTGCACACCTCACCAGCCAGCCAGGAGCTGTCTCTTGCTCCCTCAGTCCATGCTGGGGGGACTGCACCGTTCAAGGTGCTGGCATTTCTCTCAGCCCTCCAGAAATATAGTCCTTCCTCCTTAAGCTCTCAGGGAGAACTGACTTCCTTTGGCACCGATTGGCTGCTCTCTTCAGCTCTCTTTTAATCGCCTGCCTCCAACCTCTTTTCTGCCAGCGAAGGGCACCATCACATCAATTCATTTGGAATGTGTTCTCTTTTGTATTTCTTTAATGTTCATTCATTTTTAGTATTTGATGCTAATACCAAGAGAAATGGCCCCGTTGCACTTGGAAGCAGAGCAGCAAAGGAATCCTCAGTTCCAGCATGTGACACAAGGCCTTCAGCATGCATGGCCTTGCTGACTGACTGACGATGAAAAAGCAAACATGCTGACGGCATGTGACACAAGGCCTTCAGCATGCATGGCCTTGCTGACTGACTGCACGATGAAAAAGCAAACGATTCTGGGATGCATTAACAGGAGGGTTGTGAGCAAACCGCGAGAAGTCATTCTTCTGCTCTACTCTGCGCTGATTGGCGTCAGTTGGAGTATTGTGTCGAGTTCTGGGCACCACATTCCAAGAAAGATGTGGTAAAATTGGAGAGGGTCCAGAGAAGAGCAACAAAAATGATTATAGGTCTAAAAAACATGACCTATGAGGGAAAAGTGAAAGAATTGGGCTTGTTTAGTTTAGAAAAGAGAATACAGAGAGGGGACAGGATAGCAGTTTTCAAGTATCTAAAACTGAAAATATTTAAAAAGGTGTTACAAGGAGGAGGGAGAAAAAATTGTTCTCCTTGGCTATTAGGACAAGAAGCGATGAGCTTAAATTGCAGCATGGGAGGTTTAGTTTGGACACTACAAAAAACTTCCTGTCGGGGTGGTTAATCACTGGAATAAATTGCCAGTGGTGGGGTTTGTGGAATCTCTATCACTGGAGATATTTAAGAACAGGTTAGACAAACACCTGTCAGGGATGATCTAGACAGTACTTGGTCCTGTCATGAGGGCAGGGGACTGGAATTGATGATCTCTCAAGGTCCCTTCCAGTTCTATGATCCTATGGGATGAGCAGGAAAGGTGCACATATAGCCTGCCATTCCCCTCCAACACGGTGTTTGACTCTTGGGGATTTGTGCTTTGTACAGACTCAGTGGCACTGCCTCAAAAATGCCTTCTTTCATTCCTGTAAATGGCAAGGAAAGTGCAGGAAATCAAAGCATGACTGCCATTCAGGAAGTTACCACTCAGTCAACTGTTTTTTCAGGGTACTAGAGGTATAAAAACACACACATACACACACATACCCTTACACATTCAAGTCTTTCTAGTGAAGAGATTGTGGACTTCAGCAATGAATAAATCAGTTTTATTTAAATAAAATTAGACACATCTTGTTTGTTATAAACTATTACATTTTCTTTAAAAAAAAAGGCACCAATATTTAACAATAACTTAAGGTTTAATTAGAGCACTACCTTTTTAAAATGGTATGTTTGCAAACCTGGCAGTCTTCCAACCCTTCTTTGAATTCAAACAAATTATTGGTAAGGGAGTATCAAAGGTCCTACTTCTTTGTTAATATATAGCAGTGTTCAAAACATAACCAATCAAGACACCAGGTGAAGCTTTCTGCATTAAAAAAAAAAGGTTATTCCTAAAGATATTGGTTGATTTTTATCATACTAATGTATAACAGTACTAGGCAGTTTGAGAATATGTCTGAATCTTTTATATTATAGATATTATAAATATATTACAATTTTCCCTTTGCTTTTTCTTGTATTTTATCATTTTAATACCCAACATTTGCACAGAAATTCAAGCAGTCTTAAAACTTGAGGCTTTAGCATCTGTTTTTACCAAATCACATTTCTCCAAATTACAGACATTTACATCACGGCATCAAAGAGTTGTGTATGTATTGAAGTTAGTCTCTTATTTTTTTATGATTTCAAGGCAGGTATTGTACTGTAATATTTCTGGGAAAAGGGAACAGAAGCAACAGTGAAATAAAGTTTATCATTCTCTCCTTTAGTTACAGAGGGGTAGCCGTGCTATTATGTAACTTGAAAAAAACTTCAAAAACAAGTGATCCTGTAGCACCTTAGAGATGAACAAAAAGATATATAAATAGTATCACGGGCTTTTGTGAGCACAACCCATTACTTCATATAAGTCAGTGGATTTTGAGATTTCTCACCTCTTAGCAGTATCAAGCCCTATGTGTTAAAAACTACTCACTATGAACCATGAGCAGCCAGCAGGTTACTAACTTTAGAGTAGAGATAGGCCTGAGAGAAAAGATTCAGATCTGGATTATGAACATTTCAAGGTTTGGGATGCAGATGTATTCAGCTCTGGAGTTTTGGTTTAATCCATTACAGTGTTTGAGTCAGACTTGATATTAAGATTCAGTTTCTAATGCCAATGTTTGTACTTGTTGAGACGTAAGGTATAGATTCACTTTCATCTATAATGTAGAGTAATCAGATTGCCTACAAGACAGATTTGGTAAAAATAGCATGAGATAGGGGAGAAAAAAACTTAAGAGGGAAAATTACTGAACATCCTGAACACTTGAAAATCCATTTTTATTTTGGCTCTTTGTAATGCCATTTTTAGTAAAAGGAGATATTTTGTGTATAAAAGAAATGATAGGACTAAAAGTTTGTACCTTACTGCTACTCCTTTCCCTGTCTCAGCCCTAAAATGTTGACTCTGAACTCTTGGAATTCCCAGAATTCATGTTATTAAACGGATATAATTCCATTAGTGGTGATAGTGCCATAGGTTGTTGTGAGGGAAAAATAAAATATGTTTCACAATCTGCTGCTAGCATGGGCGGTTGGTGAAGGTAGGTCTGGGGGAGGCAAGCCCCCAAACTCACCTCCAGCCCCGCCTCTTCTGCCCAGGACACGCCCCCCCATAACAGGGAGGGTTGATGGCACACAGCCTGCCCTCCCTAGCCCCAGAGCACGGGGAGAGAAGAGGGTGCACGGCCCCCAGCTTCCCTGACTCTGGAGCACAGGGAGGAAGGAGGGCGTGCGGCCCCCAGCCCTGGAGCACAAGGAAGGGAGGGCACTCTGGGGCAGAAACATTCTGACCCCAGAATACCTATAGTAGGCGTTCTGGTGGCAGAGCGTGAGCGAGGCCAGCCTGGCAGTTTGGGAAAGCAATGCCTTCCCCCACCTAGCATACCAGCTGCCTATTGCTACAAGGGGACATCGATAGCTCCTGTGCTAGATTCAGTGAATAACCTATAAAGTTGTCTGAGAATTGGATGGTCAAGTTTGCTGGATACATTATGTGTGCTTTGGGCAGATATAAATCTCTAGAAATGATATTTCCAGAATTCCAATTTAGAAGTTTGACTTTTAACACTTTTTGGGTATGTCTACACTACCCCCCTAGTTCGAACTAGGGGGGTAGTGTAGACATACCCAAAAAGTGTTAAAAGTCAAACTTCTAAATTGGAATTCTGGAAATATCATTTCTAGAGATTTATATCTGCCCAAAGCACACATAATGTATCCAGCAAACTTGACCATCCAATTCTCAGACAACTTTATAGGTTATTCACTGAATCTAGCACAGGAGCTATCGATGTCCCCTTGTAGCAATAGGCAGCTGGTATGCTAGGTGGGGGAAGGCATTGCTTTCCCAAACTGCCAGGCTGGCCTCGCTCACGCTCTGCCACCAGAACGCCTACTATAGGTATTCTGGGGTCAGAATGTTTCTGCCCCAGAGTGCCCTCCCTTCCTTGTGCTCCAGGGCTGGGGGCCGCACGCCCTCCTTCCTCCCTGTGCTCCAGAGTCAGGGAAGCTGGGGGCCGTGCACCCTCTTCTCTCCCCGTGCTCTGGGGCTAGGGAGGGCAGGCTGTGTGCCATCAACCCTCCCTGTTATGGGGGGGCGTGTCCTGGGCAGAAGAGGCGGGGCTGGAGGTGAGTTTGGGGGCTTGCCTCCCCCAGACCTACCTTCACCAACCGCCCATGCTAGCAGCAGATTGTGAAACATATTTTATTTTTCCCTCACAACAACCTATGGCACTATCACCACTAATGGAATTATATCCGTTTAATAACATGAATTCTGGGAATTCCAAGAGTTCAGAGTCAACATTTTAGGGCTGAGACAGGGAAAGGAGTAGCAGTAAGGTACAAACTTTTAGGGAATGTCTACAAAGAAGTGTATTCTTCATTTGGTTAGCTAATCCACACTGGATAACTCAGGTTAGAATAGCAATTAAGACACAGCAACGCTGCTTTTAACTTTGATTAGTAGCTTGAGATCAACCCCAGGCTGCCCTATGGCCATCCTTTTTGACTGTGATCGTTTTTCAGGCTCAGTAACAACCACACTGCATTAAATCCCCTGCTGGCATAAACAAGCAAAATTTCTTTGTATTCAACTTAATTTGTACCAGCAGACAATTCTATTTTAATGATGCTGCACTAGTGTAATTAATAGGAGAATCTGGTCCTTTGCAACCCAGCAGCACCCAAGCTGCTCTGCCCCAGGCGTCCCCAAGTCAGCCACTGCTGAAACTGAGCAGCGCTGACTACAGGAAGCCCGAGGCACAGTTGCTCTGCCCCGGGCTTCCTGGAATCAGCGGCTTATCAGTTTCAGCAGCCGCTGACC